CTTGCTACCCTGCTGTACACTCTCTGAGCATGTAACCGACGCCTAGCAATTTTCACAGACACATTCTTATGTGTGAAATTGTTCCACTGTGTTGTCAACTGACAAGCAGTGTCGAACTTTGACAACCTGGACATCAAAATCAGTCGTCGGTCTTCACGGCCAGTATTTTTTCTTGGACGACCCATCAGAGGCAATTTGTCTCTTGATCCAGTGTTTCTATACCGAGACCAGACCCTCTGCACGGTTCTGACTGAACAATTCAATTGTATCGATATTCTGACATTGCTTATATTCCGCCTCTTCAGGTTAATAACTTGCACCTATAACCGTTATATAATTACCTGTATCTTGCCATACTGGAGGAAGACAGAAATAACATTTGCTGTACATGTACAAGACCAACAATACAATTCCATGGTATAGCGGTTTTATACTCATTAGTCACATAAAAGTAGACCAGGCATTATAAGTACCCAAGATCTGCCTACTTTCATTACTCTGAGTTAGGGGGTGACACTTCTTTTGTCCAGTGTGTGTACTGTGGACACTATCATGATATAGTGAATAACTCTCGCATATAGACACCAAGCCACAGCCTGCACTCCATTCTTGTCTTCTAACACACTACTATTTCAGAAGTTTACTTATAATTCGTTTTAGACAGACTGGCTCTCAGGTCAATATAATACCCAATTACTATAATCAAACCATTCAAGCGGAATGGGCCAGAAGGAATGAATAAATAAGAAGCGCTAGTGTGAAAATCATAAGTATCAGAATTAACATCATTTGTGAAAATGTATAGCGACCAACTACTTGTTAGTACACTTTACACACGAAACAGACGTAAGATGCATACAGGCAATCCCAGATTGCGAGAAGTCGTTGGGTCGACGACGAATTTCAGATATAAAATTTAAGGTAAGCGGCTTTGTTGGGCCAACATCAGGTCTAGGAGCGTCCCTTGCGTCTTCTTCTGTTTAAAAGATTGACGTGATGTTTAAAACAAATGTGCTTGACGGTAAGTAACAGTTCGTGGATAAGGTACTTGAATGGCCGTCTGTATATTGTTCTAGATTGGTGCCTTGCTTATTTTATTAAAACAAAACTCTATGCACTGTTTGATAATCTGCTAAATGAAAATAAACATTTTGTCGTATTTTTCGCTACTGTAGTTCGCGGTCATTATACTTGATAAGTGGTCAAACGTTACGATATTTTCTTAATTATGAGTTGTTTGTTTTGTACAAATGATCTTATAACAACTACGTTTGATAACTGTACCCATAAAGGTCATTTAACTGGTCGAGTGATTTATTTCTTTATATTGAAGCTACATGTATAAAGAGGGTTCAGTTGGGTCTTTCATTATTCATGGTAACAGCATGCCACTACTCCAAACAGCTTAAGTAATTTGATTAGAATACTTGTTCATAAGACCACTCAACTGTATTATCGTTTAAAATTGGAGTTTTATTAAAATAAACTATAAGTACAGCTACATGTACCAAAGGGGCAAAGAAGGTGCAAGTGTCCTTAAAGCCTGGCAGACAAACTAGTAATACTGTAAATTAATCTATTCATTATTTTTAACATTTTGGAGAAATAGCTAAAATGTACAACACTCCAAAACATTAGGAGCTCATCGCCAAGGAATACAAAAACGTGTTTAAATAAGCTGACTAAGCAATTATGAGTTGTTAAAGGCATTACATTACCTACAAAGTCCTGTGTATCATCTGGGGTGATAGCAGAACCTAGGTCCAGAATAACTACACGCCCGTCCGCCATCAGGCCAATATTGTTGGCTAAGAATAAAAGACAGCAATGGTAGTGAAACTTAAAAAGCTGATTTATTCAAAATATGGAATTGTGAAAAAGGCAAAGATAAAATCAATTGTTATGTAAGGAACCTTTAAATTGTTGAACCGTCAATGCCTAAATCATTCTACTCGCGTGTTTCCCATACATTTAGGTTATGAGAAGGAAAAAAAACCGTTGTCCCTAGACAGATATGCGTACATGTTAACTCCAATATGTAAACTCACGTTTTAAATCCCTGTGAATAATTGAACATCTATGCAGTTGCTCAAGCCCTGTCAAAGCTCCCAACAGGCACTGCAACGTCTCCTGTTGCTGAAGAGGTCCATTGAGAATCATCTCAAACCAAGTGCCGTCTGAAACACATGTTTTATTCATATATAATATAATATAATATAATATAATATAATATAATATAATATAATATAATATAATATAATATAATATTTAAGTTCCGTAGACTACTCTTCCCATTGCTCTTCCCATTGCTAAGAGATGATTATTAAAGCAAGAAAACTATGTTTAACTTTTTGAACTATAGAAGTATCATGTGCTAGAATAGAATACTTTTAGAAAAAGCTTCGGACTAAAGTTATGCTGTGAAATAGGCCACTGCCACGAGTGAGGAATCAATGCCCTATACTAGCATGTTGACAGCAGACCGTATTTGGTTTAGTACTATCGTATTTTAAAAACAATCTTTCAATTATAAAATTAGATTGCAACAGCTCTTATTTTTCACAATTGCATAGGCTTACTTGTGGCTTTCTCCATAATAATTTCAATACAATTTCCGCGACGTATCAGACCATACAACTTTATGACGTTTGGGTTGTCGCAGAGGTTTAGAATACGTGGTTCTCTCCGATTGAATTCTCCGATAGGTATCTGTAATAATATGCAAATAAAAAAGCTCGTTGATTAAAATGCCTTTTACGGATAAACAAATCAGTATACAGGTATATTATTCACAGCATTGTTCTCAGAATAAAGTATTTTTTCTTGAATCAAGAGCTTAATATTGAAATAATTTGTCTCTGATATTTTGATGTCTAACAGAGCACCTTCACCAGAGAATTCAAGTTTTCATAAATTAAAAAAGAAGCATTATCTCTGGATTCATCAATCAAATGTGATCACCTTTTTCACAGCAAACGGCATTCCACTTTGAATATCAAAACCAAATGATACTTCTCCATAAGCTCCGCGACGTGGCTGCCCTTCCTTAGCAAAATGCATGTTTTCATCATACCTTCCATTATTAAGGCGAAGACCCTAATAAAAAAGAGAAACTTGCAAGAGATACTGACACGGAATATAAATGTGTTTCCACAAAGAGAATGCTGGTGTATACGTTTACTGTTAAAACAATACCTGTGTAAACCAATATACAACTTAAGTGATTGGAGAAGGAAGATATCTGCTAATGATTAGGTATTAATAAATTAATTATAATGCAGCGATCTTTGCACTGCCTTGGATTGAACGCCTCTGATAATGTAAAACACTTCTACACGCACTGGACAATAGAAATGTCACCCTTACTGAAACAATACTTTGGTTGAGATAAATGAATGACTGTGGAAATATATGCTCCTGGTATCATTTTATTAACATCAAATTTCACAAAAATGCCAACAATAAAATTCCATGGTACAGCGGTTTTATACCCATTAGTCACATTACAACTTTGATTACTCTGATTCAGGGGGTGACACTTCTATTGTCCAGTGTGTGTACTATCCTGCCAGTAAAAATTATGAAACGTGATAACCTCAAACAAGACCAATCCCTCAGCTTCACCATCGTTTTGATCTCCATAAAAACTCTCTTGATCCAACAAGCCATGTAAAGCATTATTATCTCCGTATGATATCTTTCCGTGATGCCCAAATCCCGTTGAAACTGGCAGATCACTCCCTCCCTCGGCGCCCCTTCCCAAATTAGGGTCATTAAATGGTGAGGAGTTGCTTTCTCTTCCTGTTGTTACAGCTGAAGCCTCGCCTGAACTGAAGTCACTGTCAACACACTGTTCTGCCTCGGACAGATCCTCTACCTGTGTTGGCGATTGTTCATGTAGCACAACCTGCAAGGACAGATGGTAATGTTATACGCCTACATTTCACTTTAATCTTACTCATAACATGTTATTTTTATTTTGGCAAAAACGTGAGGGCACATTGAGATACAAATTCCTTACTTCCTGTCCAAAGTACTGTCCAGTTGTCTGAGTTTCCGTGGATGAACAGATAGGCACAACACAACATATAACCAACGTCCAAACAAAGACATGACGATATAGCCATTGTGCACACTTTTCAAACAATGTGGCTAGGTACTGAGGTCTGGTATCTGAAAGAAGAATAGTGACACCTTCAGTATGTAATACTGTCGATGAAAAACTTGATGGATTTAACTTTATCCAAATTGCATCCTATATGCAATGACTAGCCTTTGTACTTACTGGATATATGTATATCCTGTTTATCCTTCGCCTTCCTACTTTTATTCAAAGGGGCAACTCGCAAACCACGTCTATTTTTGAACGGCCGTATGGTTTTAGTTTTGGTTGCTGGTGGGTAGCTAGTTTCCGCATTAAAATTACTCAGACACCAGTCCCAAAAAAGTATGTTTTGCTTAGTTTCGACGACAGTTATGGAAGCGATGACATCCATTGATTTGGCATCTCCTCGGTAGAGTGTGTAGCGGACTGTGTACTTTCCAAGCAAGCTGTGGCAAGGGTAACGCTTCAATACCTGATTACTGGATTCGAAACAAGCCTTGATGACTTCAGCATCGAGGATATTTTTGAAGTTAACTTTCTCGACTGAGGCGTAGGTGGCCATAGCAAAATCGATGCCAAGATACGGAACCAAGTCAATCTCAGACACTTTTAAATTCTTTAGGGTCTCAGTGACCCGCAAGACAGATGAAATGGAGCTGACTGTCTGACTAATTAGACGAATCATGTCGGTGTCGATGTTGAAGGTAGTACGGTAGACAGTGGGAATGGTCTCGTCGTTTGCCAGTAAAGCACAACTGGAGCGTTTAATCTTGGTGGGGGTGGGGAACAGAGAGTAACAGTTGGAGTCGACGACAGCACTTGCAGGTGTCTGAGGAGCAATGGGGAGAGACGGTTGTTTCTTAGGCTTATGGTCGAGGTCAGCACTGAGATAGTCCATCTTCTTGTCGACACGAGCGTATTTCCCCCCTTCCACTCCTGCATGTTCGAAGATTGCCCTTTCGTCAGAAGTGACATCCACTGGTGAGTGCACTGTCAACTGCCTTTGTTCCGACAAGTTGATGATTTTTTCTGGTGTGTTAATGCCTGTGTGTACGTTTTGCCACACACCACCTTTGTTTGACAAAGGGTTTGCAATAAGTTCCTCGTCCGAATTTCCGGATACCACGAGTTTACTTGGACATTTACCCACCGTCGCTATATTTTCCTGCACTGGGTTCTGATATGAAGCTACCAGTAAATCAACAGTGATTTCTGACTGCTCACATCCTTGTGCGTTCTGTTGACCATCCACAGAACATATGTCCAATTTATTAGTGCAAAAGGCATAGTCTTCTTGTTTGAAGGTTGTTTCTTGGTTTAGGTTAGAGTTTGCTGATTCGGCAGGCTGCACTCCGTTCCGCAATTTGCTCTCTGAAAAGTCATGCCTACTAGTAACGCCCAGTTGTTTCAATAGTTCAGGTTTGCTTTCTGAAAGTGAGTTATCTTCTGACCATATTTTATTATTGGGGATACATGTGTCTCTTGGATAATTGTTTCCCTTTGATCCTTCGAAACGAAGCCTGTTGTTTCTCATGCATTCCATTTCGAATGAAGATTTCTCTAAAAGAAAACAAATGTTATTATTGAAGAGCACAACGTTTGTTAAAGTGTATCTTGTGAATGCGGTGCTCTGGAGTTAAATTTTACATATACGAATTTCATGTATCCTAATTCATTGATTAGTATTGAATGGTATTGTAGCTCTCTTTTAGTATATATTGATATACCAATAAGCTTATGTGGTGCATAACCAAAATAATATCGGTATTTCATAAATAATGTTAGGGGTCGTAAACGGCACACTCAGTAGGAATATGTGACAAAATATGAGAATAAATCGTCATAATGATGCATCTATGAAGACCTACTAAAAAGATGTAATATTCTGCCCATGATCTACACACACTGGACAATAGAAGTGTCACCCCCTGAATCAGAGTAACCAAAGTTATTAACCTAAGGTGGAATATAAGCAATGTCAGAATATCGATACAGTTGAATTATTCAGTCAAAACCGTTTCTTTTGTGAAAGTTGATGTTAATAAAATGGTACCAGGAGCATATCATCCCACAGTCATTTGTCTCCCACAAAGTATTGGTTCAGTATGGGTGACACTTCTATTGTCCAGTGTGCGTACACAGTGATTTGAAGAGTTTTTCAAAATATGAGAATGACAAGATTTGTCGGTTTTGTGAGCTCTTTTCTTCATTAAACCTGTAACGACACTTTTCTTTATTTTTAACATAATCAGTTGCAAAATTCGATTAGATCAGGGGGCTGCTCTACTTGTCACAAAATTGAAGAGTCTAATTAACTTCAGAGCACTATATCTTTGTCATAGAAGTGTACCTGTAGTCAGAGCTCTTTACCATTCAGATAAGATCTGAATGACCCAAGTCACCTCCTTCTCTCTATTTCTCCAAATCCTTTTCATTGCACACTTTGTCTTAAAATTCAGTTTCAGTGGTCGTAAATAAAAAACACTATTTTGAAAAAAAAAGAGAAAAGAATGTTTGGGCCAAATGCTGCTGTTGCAGTGGTTTTTACCATTTTGAAAACTTATTTGGTGGGATCTGCATTAAGTGTAAATCTTTTCCTTCCTCACAGAACATCAAAAGCCTCTTGCTTTCCCTTCAGTCATCATTTAAATGAGTACCACAGGTGGTATGCCTGAGATATTCTTCCTACCTGTTTAATAAAGCGCGGATAAATCAGCAGAAGAACTAATTTGAAAACAAAAGGAATGTGGTTTGATGAACTATTCCCTTTTCAAATGAAAAGAAATTTGCCCTCGATATTGCCATAATGTTGGCATTTTCCCTGTGGTAACGGGACTTCTCTCTGAAGTAAGTTTATGGGAGGAGAAACTTAATTGACTGATGTGCTTCTTAAAATGCAGTGGTGTTAGTTTTGTCACATCGTTATGTGATCTATGACGCGTCTGTATAAGCAGCATTTTCTTGAAAGATTTGTAACAAATAGAGTAACCTGCTTTTGTACAACCAGTAAATCATGCGTAGCTTGACATATTATATGGTTGGGGACATAGGACGATATTGTTAAGGTGAAGCAAAAAGTCAATAACCCTTTTTCATTAAAGATATTGTGTACTTTGGCTATTTAATTTCTAAAGTTATTTTCAACAAATAACCATTTGTTAAATAATGTAAAGATTCATTGAGCAACTATTTAAGATTTCCATATTTCCTAAACAAGCAAAGGGTACCTACACATTTCAGAGTAGACCACTGAACATGGGGTTAAACTTTTCACTCTTAAAATTGATTTTGAAAAGAAGAAAAAGATATATAAGTGTATTTTCCTATGCCTGGCCCTTTATGGTGAACCCAAATTCCACATTCATATTGTGCAACATTAAATATGTGGGTGTCAGATAAGTATGTAGCAGTAATGTGATTCAAGCTCATTTCATATTTTTATCTTCGACCCTATAAAGCCAATTGTTTTTGGACTTTGCGGAAAAACTACTATTATAATTCAATGTGAAACCCAAATAACAAAATTCGTTAACTGCTTCGAGATTTTGGCCTTTACACGACAACACTTCGTAAGGCTATATATCGCCCCTTTTTCTAAATATCAATACTTTCTTACATTTACAGTCAAAGACTATTTATCAGTCTTTATTGATGAAGTATTTTACGTTTTTGTGAACTTTCTTTACAGTCAGAAAATAAAGACATGTCGTCCACGTACGTGAGTAACTAATACCTGCTAAACTGTACAACCAACTAATTGCATTCGGTTCTTTTTTTCTAATTCAGTTTCGCAGCCATTAACATACAGGTAATATAGAACAAGAGACCAAAGTTCTGAATAAAGATCCCTCTTTTATTTTTAAAGAATAATTAGATTTTCCCATTTAACAAAGTACCAGTTTTCACATAATCATAAGGGCTTTATAGCATTGTTTAACGTCCGAGGCCCAACTTC